CTGCTCTGTAGAGAGCTGTGGAAGGCATTGTGGGAAAAAGCACAAATACGTTAATTTGAAAATGTAGCAAGTGGGTGATGGAAGCTAGTACCAGAGGCTGAGGGGATGGAGGAATCACCTGTGCAATGACTGAGAAGACCGGCAGTGAAGAAACCAATCCAGTTGATGCAACAGAAAAGGTCTTGAACCACAGATTCATTCCTTCTGTATTTTTGTGTAGTCCCCTTCAACATTAGATAACCCTTTTTTTTTGCATTATGTATCCTAAAACAGGATGTAGCACTGCAGTAATAATGTAAAAGAGAACTACAGCTTGCTTATACATTTTACAAATGTATACAGTTCATTAAAATGACTATAGATTATTAATTCTACAAAGTTAAGCACTCAACTTGCAGAACATCCTTATTAAAGGCATATATTTGACCTTGACTGACTGTGGTGCGTATACACCGTTCTCAAATAATCACAGAATATATAGCTATTTCCTAGATCATTAGAGACAAGAAGCATATACAGCATTTGTAAATTTCTGCTTTTCCTTCATACTTCCGTAGTGTTTTTCTCCTGTGCCTTAGTTCAGCATATAATCTAGCAGTTTAAAAAGACACATTCTTTTTTAATCTAAGAAAAACCTGTGTTAAAAATTGTGATATACTCAGACATTATAATTAGCCTATTCAACAAAATTTACTTAGATGCAATGCAGAGGATAAAGTAGTTAACAATGAAGCGAAATTAGCTGCATAAACATGTGCAATGCAGCCCTCCTCAGGTGCAACCTAGGGCTGAAGCAATTAATCACAAAATCTACATGGCTATAACCTGAGCTTGGCCTAAATACTAAATATAATGAATTTTTCTAATCTTACAGTTTGCTGTTTTTTTCACTACCGCTCTTTGTTATTATATGTAACGTGTAGCATACTGTACAACCATAACACACATCACTTTCCATTCTATGTCTGTGGACTGGTTCTATGATATACCAGATGTTACTGGGTGAAATACGTCTTCTTCAGTCAAAGACAGCTTAACAATTTTCTGTCTTCATGCTGCCACTCACCACTTTTTTCCTTCCTTGCCTTATTTTTTTTAAAGTCTTTTTTTCCCCAGCTGTCATTTCAGAGATTCAGCCTGCTGAGTAGTAGCCCCCTGCACTGGTGCAGGGGAGAAAAGCCAGCTGTCATGGAAAACGCATTAAGGAATTTATAACTCTACACGATTATCAAGTACTATATAAAATATTGCACCACTTACGAAGCAGTAAAAATCTGTAACATTAGAGACTGATTCTCCCATTCCATACCCACAAGAGAGAAGAATTAAGGTCTTACAGGCAATTTTGACAATAAAACATGTACCTCTATATAATAACAGCTTTGAACTCCTATCCTTGCAGACAAGCGTAGCGACCAGCTAGTCACTACTACAGATACCCAAAACTACTTCAGCCTCTGTGGCCTTCCTTGTACACGGAGGGAAGGGAAGAGACCACCACCTACTCAGAGCCCGCTTTCTCTCCCATTGTGCTGCTGTTCCCTCCTTACTGTGCAATGTTTACTTATGCAAACTAGAAAGTTAACTCTTGAAGCCACAAGCAGACCACTTACTAGTTGATCCTTTAATTCTTCCTACTGTTGGAGTCCATGTAGGTTTTAAAAACAAGATTTTAAAGTTCTGTCTTCCCGGAAGTTTGAAATATGCTGATAATAGTGTGTGTACAGTTCAGTCTGAAGTTCTCTGATGCAAAGCCCCCTAAAAAACTCTTCCATGCCTCAGAAATTCCACATGATACTGCACATTCATTCGACTGAATGATGCAGAAGAAGCAGAAATTCAAGGTGATCTCTCCTTTGCCATTTATGAGTTTAGCATGAAAATCCAAAGTGACAAACGTTTCATTGCGATGTTGAAGGAGCTACATACAGTCAAATGTAAAACACACTGTGTTCACTACTGGATATTAATTTAAATTCATCCATTTTCATATCCCAGCCATGTTGGTTATACCACTGCTCAAATAAACCATAAAAGGTGTAGGGAGATTCAGCACCATTTCTTTTAGAGATGAAGTACAGAAAAGTGACAAGGTATTAAAATTCTGGTCTGTGCAATCTTTTTGACTGCAAATAAGTTGTTAAATGTGGAACCAAACAATCCTTGCCCCCTGTCATTTTTAGTACATTGCCTAATGGGTATTATTATAGGATGAGTAATGTCCATTTCTTTTGCTTTTAAACTAAATCTTTCTGCTGTGTTCTTCCATGTATTGCTCCTAAGTGTCCTTACGCACGTTGCAGTTCGGCATGCCGCTGTCTGGCATGTTTGTTTCAGAAACAAATACGCTCTTATGCAACCGCATTTATCTCCAGTGACAATCTACAACTTATCTACTTGAATTTTGTCCAATTTTCTAAACTCTCCCACATCTCAGATTTTACTTTATTCTCCACTCTTTATAATCCCCGTTAGTGTAATAGTGGCAGGCTTGATAAGTGTAAGATTCAGCTCCTACCGCAGGTCATTTACAAAGACATCAGATACCACTGACTCTAACTAGCTATGCTCTGAAACTTGGCAGGCCTGCTTTGTTAGGATCAGCTGCTTTCTGCACAGAATATAAGGATCTTACAATGGTTCAAGTGAAAGGAAAAAAGAGAGACTGAAAGCAATCTTTTCCCCATTATTATTCAATTCAAGCAAAGTGCATTTTTGACCTGAGAAATTTTACTCACATTCTAGGGTTAGACTACTGATATTACAAAATATTTGTTTGGCAAAGGTACCCAAATATATTCCTCTGCATGCAGCTATTTAAAATTCAGCATAATTTTAAAAATCATTTTAATATTACAAGAAATGGCCAAGCACTGAAACAGAAACAACAGAGAAAATAAAGCAATAAACAAAGCTGTGAAATGAGCGCATGCGTGCGCTTGAGATGAGAGTGTGAACGTGCGATAGCCCGTGTCAGGCTGGACTAGCTGGTGAGCAGGAGACCCACAGAGCAGGTATGAGGGCCCGGGATCCAGGCAGGGATATGAGAGGGGCTTGGGGCCTGTGCTGGTATTCGAAGGAATGTGAATGGGGGTGTGCTTGTGAATCTAGGAAGTGCAGGGCATGTGTATTTTCACTCACGAACTTCAATCGGCTGAAGAAGATGACTGTACTCGTGTTTTATGTGTGTCCTGGCAGGGTTACTCATGGGTGGTGTGAAAGGCAGAGCCCTGCCTGTGGCAGGCGGGCATCGTGTGTGTGTGCCCGCGTCCCTGAGATACATGCTAAGCCTCACTGGAAACCTGGGGCATGAAAGCTGCAGTTGCCTCCGCCAGCGCGGGACCAAGAGTCATCCAGGGCTCCCGCTGTGCCAGCCTGGGATCCAGCGGGCAAGGAGGAGGAATCCCCAGGTGCTGGGGTCCACCCAAGGCTGCAGCACAGGAAATGCAGGCACTACAGTCATTTGTACGGTCCCAATTTGACCTGGTTTGTACTTGTGCTTCAAAATACTGTCGTTAATTACATGATCTCATTTTTTTATATTCAGTGTATAGGACAGATGATTCTTACCTAATGAGTTGCTGCATACTCTATTTGTGCAGTTCCTAGGCCTCATTTACTGCAAGATATTCAAAACCTAATCTGAGGATGAAGAGGTTAATTTCCTGTGGGGTCTGTCAGTAGAGTATCTAGGTGCCTACATTCAAGTGATATTTTTCTTCATTGTCCAGTTGTGGGACTGAGGCACACAGCATCTCAGTGAAAAGTCACAGCTACAGTTCAGTGCCTGTGTGTTAGCAAGTCAGGAACATTAACACAGGTACCACAGTACTAGTTTCCCGTCTGCAAAGTCTGGTTTAAGTATCTTTCCTCGCAGATACAGACCTAACTGAAGTTCTTCAGAGCTGCACACAGCTGCCTTAGCCATAAGACCATTTTTTCTGCACCTGCAATCCCCTGGCATGTCACTGAACCCCTTTTAACTTCTTCAATTAACGAGAAACAGGTATGATTGTATTTTTATTACACATTTTTGAGCATCACTAAAAACAATGCCTTGCAATAGGATATATCACGTAACATAATAAAAAAAAAACAAAGCAAAAAACCCACACTGTTTCTGTAGTCTCATCAGTAATACATCTCCAAGCACATGTTGGAGGATATGTTGCCCGTATCCTGCTGATGAGGAAGCTAACACACCAAGATATGAGAAACAGTTTGCTCTGTACCAGGTGAAGGACTCAGCTGAGAGAAGAGCCTCTCACTTACAAAGCATTTTTTTCTTCAGGAATCCAAAACATGTTACAATCATGGATATTATTCATGGTGTCTTCTACACATGGATAAATTCAGTTGCAGAATGACTACATAGTAATAAGTGAAAGGACTCAGTCCCATAATTCTGCAGCCAGTGAAGCCATTTAGATTGTAAAAGGCTTATTGTAAAGAATAATTCTGAAAATGCCATCCAAGTTTCTGCATAACTCCAAACAATACTTACATGACCCACATGTAGAAATGTATCTATTTCCATAATTTAGCAGTTTATTCAGCAAAAAGACATTCCTCAGCCTTATTGTTACTTAAATATAAAAAAATATTTTGGTTTTTCAGTTAAACATGAAAAGTCAGGAAACAAAACTTTCAGAAAGGAACAATCAATTTATAAATAACAAAAAAAAATATACTTCTTAAACAAAATACTTGATACAGGCTTTATCATTCCTGTTAAGTTCCTTACCCTAAAGTGAAATGTACATAGTAATCTAGCTGAAGACTCAGGCCACACAGCATATGCATATTCTTGACCAACCAAACACAAAAATCACGTGTAGTTATACCCTGTTCATTGTCTTCTGGAGTTTGTAACACGGAAAAACTATTCGTTTACCTGAAGGTGTAGAATGTGTATTGTTGCTGCTCTTCCTGAACAATTGCCACTTGGTTAAGTTTGTATATTAAACTTCAACCCTGCGCATATAGACACAGGTAAGGCTTTATTTCCTGTTCTTCACAGGAAGGATATCTGTAATCCAGTAGTGAAACAGAGACGTGACTATCTTGGTATGATCTGAAACAAAGAAAACACATTCCTCCTGAAATACTTCTCCGATGTTTCTGAACATTAAAGACGATGACTTGTGCGAACATCTGTTTCCATTCGATACTGGCATTTCAGTAACACCAACACAGACATTGGAGCTTTAGGACCAAGACATATGAATTTCTAGATAAAAGGTGCATATCCTTTCAGAAGGTCAGTTATTTCTATGAGAAACAATTTTGGTTCTATATTTTGGAATGTCCTATTTGTTATGATTCAGTAATTCAGAAAAAAAGGAGACCAAGATGACATGATCATATGGGTAAGGCCAAGAGTGCAATCTTCTCCACTTCTGTCTGTCTGCAATTTGACACATTATTATTTAACCTACAGTAGCACCTAGAAGCCCCAGTTGAGAATGAGTCAACTTGCACAGACAGCTGCATTAAAGCCTCAAAATGCCATGCCTTGTGTCTTAATTCAGAGATTATCTACATGACTTTATTTTTAATGACAGGACTTTCTACTGTACTTATCACATAATATCACATTTAAGATGATTCTATAATGTTATACTAATATAGCTTTCACATTTCATTTCCTTTTCTTTGTATGTTCAAAAAAAAAAAACAGGTTAAATTTAATCATTTTAGGGCCTCGGTGTATCCAGCCTGTGCATTGTTGGCTCATAGTAACTATATTACTTCTGATCTGCAAAATGTACCACTCTCCCCGCAATGGAGACATATACAAAGGACTACTCCAAAAAAAGGCAGTTAACAGAGGCTTCTAGCTCTTCTGCGAGTGATAATTTCCTAGGCAACAAGGGAAGACTATATCTGAGACTTGATACTAACCAACAAATGGAAAATGTTAATAGATAATGGAATGAAGTTGATGACCACAAGCTGAATGAGTTCATAAAGTAGGAGATAATGACTTTTTTTTTTTAATTAGGCGATCACCTATGCTTTAATAATTGATGTGAAATGGGAATTAAGTAGCCCTCATTTCAAAAGCTACAGTTTCCAACCAGCAAATGGAGCATTACTTCCAGTCACAGCTCCTCTCCCTGGCACTGTGCAGGATTATGAAGGTGTCTGTCTTGCTTCTGCAAATGGCCACTGACTTCCTGACAGAGGTCAGTCAAGCCCCCATCATGAGAAATGCATGTTTGTTTGACTTCTAAACATTCTCTCCCTGCATTTATAGAAGACTTTACGTAGAGCTAAGTACTTTTTGTTAAAGACTACGAAACAAATGGAAATAGTAATAGGACATTTTGTTGTTTTTTACAATTTGAGAACAATGACACTTTAAATAGCCATGTTCGAACAAAAATTCTTGACCAACTTCAACTTTGTATGACTGCTGACGTACAAGGTCAAAGGTAACTTGATGGAGTAACTTGAAGCACAAAGTACACGGAAAGTTGATGGAGGATGACAGCTAGACAGAACAACAAGTATCTCTTAACCACAGAGGTTTTCTTGTTCAAGTATGTTTTCTCATTTAAATGAAGGGTTAAAGATAATACATTAATGTTGATAATTTTTCTGTTTCAATCTCCTTAGCAATTTCCTCTTCCTGAACATTTTTTCAGATCCTACCGCCAACCTTGTTAGACCTTCCTTTGACATGACTGCAAATATCGGGATCTAAGAACTTAAGATAAAACAGAAACTTTTTTCTTCATTGTTTCTTTTTTCTTTTGGTTGAACCATGATTCCCAATCTGAATAATGTGCTAAGAGATGTGAAGGAAATACCAAAACACAGTCTTGAACCAGTGGTTTTCAATTTGTGGTCTGCAGACCTTGGGCAGTCCAGCTTTACTGTAAAGGTCTGTAAAGAGTTACTAAGAAAAACAAATGTATCATTAGTAGGCATAAACTTGCCAAGTAGGAACTTGGTAGCCCCAGTGGAAAATTAGATTAAACCATAACATATATATATGAGGAAATAAAAGATATATAATGGCATATTTACTTTGTAAAGTTTATTAATGGAGAATGTGCACTTGTATGAAAGAGATGGATCTCTTTCTATTTTTTACTACTCTTTCCTCCCTTGTATTAAAGACAAAACTGAACAAAGCATAGCACCCATGATTATTCCTTTGATGCTGGCATCTTAAGTAGAATCACAACCACGGGAAAAAGCGTTAACATACTACTTCTTGAACTACAGGGAATAAAATAGGTTTATTCTGTAAAAATAATACACCTTGTTAAAATTAAGAAACATTGTTTTCTTTTCATCATGTTAATAAGGCATGACCTTTTCTTCTAGTACATCATGCCCCAGTAAAAATAAACAAAACAGAAAGAAGGCAAGATAATCAAACTTGTAAAAAAAAAAAATTGAGCTTACTACGATGTATCGTACATTCATATCTTCATAAACAGCCCTAACCTGTATTTCTATAACAAGAATTTGAATTTGCTGAGAAAACAAGTCTATTTAACTTTTATCACCTGTTCCTTGGGAATGAAATCTAAAATTTTAAAAAAACTGGGTAAGATGATCTATTTTTGAGCCAAAAGTAGGAAAAAAGTATAATTAAAAACCTAATTCAAGTTAAAATTTCAGAGCACTATATTTTCATTCACTGAAATTCCTGAATTACAAATAGAATGTAATTCTATTTGTATTGCTAAACTCTGCTGAGGCAAATTAATATCTAGCAGGTGTTTAATTATCCTTTAATAATTTATAACAATGTCTTTTCCTCTTTCTTATGTTGGTGCACCACATGAATATCAAATCAACTACTACGGTTACACCACCGTGAACTTGGAAGGGGATTAGAATTGAGCCTGGAGTGACAACAGCTACTAGGAAAAAAATCAGCTGGAAGAGTAAACAGTTTCAGGCTGTATTAGCAGAAACACAAACGAATACTAAAAATCACTCAAAAAATTGTCTTCTGCTTTTTCAAATGAAAAATACATACATTAGAAAATTAGGGTAGTTGCATGGATTTTTTTCTAATTTGCCTCTGTTTTCTTTTCTCTCTTCAGTCTGACATTTCTGCTATATATAAGTAAACAGAGCACCTTGCCTCAAGGCTGCAAAACCCAACAGAATTCCTATTGTATTGAGCAGAATTTGGGTAAGGCCTGTAAGGAATATCCTGAACGTGGTCACTTCAGCAGTTACATTTTGATTTAATCAACAGAAGCTGAATTAGGTCATTTGATAAAGGACCAATACCATTACCACTATTCCTGTCGAGTCCTACTTAGTTTGCAAATGTGTATTACATCCAATGAGACTACCTAATTATAATTAAAATCATAGAATCTAGGCTTGAAATTAATTATTGAATGCACAGAAGGATTTTGTTCCATGTATATGTGGGTACCTCAGATCTATCAGAACCTGAAGGGTTGTCATACTCCATACCTACACTTTAAAGAATACATACATATTTCTGTAAGAGCGCCCGTTCCAAAATGTATCAGCTGGGAACTCTATAGGCAGAATTCTCTCTCTTCTGTGTTTTTACAATACACAGCATGCAGTAGGCTCCAGTCTTGATGGGGATCTTTAACCACTATCATGCTGTAAATTATTTAATGATGTTACAAGCAGTAGTTGCTTTGAATGTTATTGCTAAGCCTCTGATGGCTATGATCGTACTCACTCTGTTACCACGCTACTACCAGCTGTCTCGTTACTCTTCAAAAGACTTGGAGCACTACCTAAAATGGTTCAGATTCTCTCACGCCATAGCAAGTGCTGACTAAACCCTCTGGGAGGCAAGAAAATTCAGCACATCTTGTAGATTTGGCTGATGCTGCAACAAATGTCCTAATGACAAGTAACAATGACTGTTTAAATGACTACTTGGAAAATGAATTATTATACCTTTTACAGACTACATGCTGATCCCACATTCATGTGAAGAACTACTAACTGTCCAAGAAGAAACTCTACTAAAATTATAGGGGTTACAATAGAGAACAAAGGGACCATGAATGAAATCAGACTTGTGCCTCAGGGATGAAAAGATTTAATAACAGATTAATTTTTCTTTTTATGAATGACTTGATAATATAATTCATTATAAAGAGTAACTTTACGTTCAGTATTTTTTAGAAACTTTTTTAGAAACTCAGATGTTTCATTTAAACAGAAACAAAGCTGTAAATTAAACTTTAGCATGCAAAAATCTATGTGTTAAAGAAGCCATGTAGGTGACCAAGAAGAAATACAATAATGGACTTCATAGATTCTTATGCACGTAAAATTCATCCTGAACTGCATGAGTAAAGTCTCCAAGATAAACAAATTAATTCCCATGATTTAAAAAGTCTATAAAGAGAATGTATTAAAAATATGCTTTAAACGTGATCAAATCTTAAAACAGTTAAGATTTAAAAAATATTGTTTTAAGAACCTGAATCATCTATAGTTGCTGTTAAGTATGAAAAATTTCTGTATTGAATGTAACCAAACAAGAAACAGGGAAAATCACTGTATTTTTGGTGGGAATTATGCTTTCAAATCTCGTATAAACATATACTTACTAGTACACAATTAGTTACAACTACCTAATAAAACAACACGTGAGAAATCTGAACTTCAATCCACACAAAAAAGAACATCAGCGAATGAACATCAGTGAATGGTACCTACTAGGAGGCATCATGGATTGTTCTTGGAATTGTTTCAAAGCACCCTTCAATCTCTCAATATCCCGTAGCAACACAAGGGATTTCAGCTGATGTAGAAGAGTCACATCCGAGAAAGAGATGCTGTGAGATTCAAGACATTGTAAAAGCTCTTGGACAGTTGTTGAATTTACAGCAGAGTCTGTGCATTCTGATTTATCTGGAAAAACAATTGAAAAACCACATTAAAAATGTTCAATGAGCACGGAGAATTTTCCTAATTATACTTTCTTTTCAAAGACAGCATCTTTCTTTTTAGTATAACTCACAACCAAACATCAGGTACTAAAGAGCAGCTTACTCTTCTCATTTTTTTTAAAATATTAAAACAACGGTAAGAGGGGAAAATATCAAATTCAAAAAGTAAAAAAGGACAACAGGATTCACAGTGACAGGAACACAAGAGGAATCTAAATTTTCAAGATTAGCCCAGGAAGAAGGTGTGATGAAGAAGCTGTACTGTGGCCAAATCACTGTGATTTGCTTCCTACACACTATGTACTATAAAGATGCACACGTGTGGAGGCAGGGAACAACTCCATGAAACTACTGCAAAAGCACTTCTGGAAGCATCCAATTATCTTGTTGTTGTACTTTTGTGCTTTTATTTTAAAAGTGGATATTACAGCATGCAAGACAGAAGAGAAAGACACACATTGTTTCTATAGTACTAAAGTATAAATTCATTCTTCCATTCCAGTAACAATGTATAGTCTGTCCCTTTACCCGGACACCCTTTAATTCTTCTGTTTTTACCAGCAACACAATTGAGAACAGGTTTTTCCCGATTCAGCTTTCTCACATAAGTACAAGAAGTACAATCCAATGTGACCATTCTAAAATGCTGCTAAAAGCAATGGCTTCCAATTTTATCTAAAAAAAATGGGGAGCATTAAAGTCACTCAACTAGAAAAGGCAAACACCGTAATGTCAGATCTATATATAAACTGGGATTTGCCTAACAAGAAAGTTAGTCACACTCTGATTTATGGATGTGACATCTTGTCTGCAGATGAACTTTATTTTACCTGAGAATTTCTCTCTGTGGATTCCAAGGTCCTCAATGGCTCAACCCTCCAACCTGCATGTTGGACACCAGGGCCAGTCAGTCTGTCAATCACTGCTAAAACCTGAACTTGACTTTCAGGAAAATCTGGAAGCTCAACACTTTTCCTTAAAATTCAACATGCAACACAGCTGCAGACAATTGACCAAGTTTCTGTTCTGCATCATGTATTAACAGCGGAACCATTAATGGAGTTTACAATTTTGCTCAGTTACTCTGGAGTTACACTACAGCAAACGCACATGGTTCAGCTTATTAGCCATACACTGAAGTAGTAAAATTCTTATTTTTGGTGATAGAAATACATTAGCTAGAAAGTACGATGGATTTCGAATGCTAGACTTAGTATGAAGACCTGACACAGCAGAAATCTTTTAACAGTAAGTGAAGAAAAATCTATGTACAAATCTTGAGAAAAAAATTAACATGAAATCCCTGATGTCATCTTAACAAGGTTTTAAAAGTAATTCTGTAGTCTAAAGATGAATTTTATGGGACTAGGAGATGACAGCTCTGACTGAAGATGGACTCAAACAGAGTAGGTAAGCTGTTTAATATTCTTCACTCAGCTCCACAAAGACAGTCAAGGCCATGCGCTTTGAAAAAATTTTCATTGCTTTTTTGCAGTTTTACAAGACAGTCACCATTTCAAAGCTATGTTCAGAGCTGAGCAACTAAAGAACACACCAGTTTGCGCTTAAGAAAACATATTTAATTCTAGATGATATCAACATAATCTGGCATACGTACAGATAATGTCTACACTTACCATTAAAACTTCATTATCTCTGAAAGGCATTTATGACATAAGCACCACACAAGCAGGTTTTTAGAAAGGCAACAGCAGAAACATACAGTAGGAATTTCTCCGATTTTAGCGGCCAGATGAACATTCAATAGGCCATTAGGGAGAACATCCATGCAATCCTTTTCAAGTGCTATGGAATGTGCACTGAGCATCAATTCACATTCTTGGTCACAAGTGCTCTATGCCAAGACACTTTCCCAGTGCCAGCAGTATCTTCTCCTTTCCTCTTGGATGCTGTCTGTCTACATTTCCTTATATTACAAATACATCTCCTGGGAAGGAGAACTTTCTGAAAAGTAGGTTGGTTCAGAGATAGTAAGCATGAAAGTAGTTCAGGATAGCAATTATTGCCCTCATTTGAAGCTCTCTGAAAGCAAGTAATCCTTTTAGATGTTTGCTTGCAGAGGAAAGACGACTTCGGTCCATTTTAACCACTTTAGATACCCCAAGTCCACTGGAATGTTTTGAAAAAGAGCAAGGAATATTATGTATATTTTCAAAGACAGAGAAACTAAGAGCTTAGGACCACAGTTATTTACATTGATGTGGATTCTTATATATTCATGTACACACCAGAAAATGTGACAAATACTAAGTACCCTTATGTCTTACCGAGTTCAAAACAGATACTTCTCCAGTAGATATGGCCCATTCTACAGCAATGAAAAGCACACATCTCTCTTCCCCTACATGGTAATAACACTCACAAAAAGAATGGAGGAGTGATACATACTGTCAGCAAAATAAATTTGTTGTGTTGCCTGCAAGAAGTCCAGAATGCTATCTGTCTTTTCATCTATGTCTTTTAAGCCTGCTGCTTCTTCTCTGTTGTTTTTGTCAGGCTGATACGTAAAATCCACACCAGTAGTTTTTGTCACCAAGCCAGCTGCTCTCATTTTTTCTTTCTGTCGCTTCTTTTTCATTTTCCTCTTTTTGTTTTTGCTTATTCTGGGGCAGTCTGTCTGCTGCAGCTGTAAATTACGTTGAGCAAGTGTCTCTTGCATTCTAGATTCTGTTTGTTCTCCATGTAAATTATTAGAGTTTTGCAAACTATTCTTTTGTTTCTTCCTTCGAATGCGCTTTCTCTTGGTTTGTCCTTGATATTCCTCCTCTGCAGATTCAAAAGAGATGTGATAGTTGTAAATAAGAAGATCTGTAATAAGCATTTTGGAACTGCATACAATGAAATATTACCCCCTTCAAATTCTGAGATATCTGAGTGGCTCTAACATTACTTTTATGCTTAGAATGCCTTTCAGTACTACAGTGTCAAAGTCAACTGTTCTGCATGCACTAAGAAGACAAGTTTTTTTCCCTTCTGCTTTCAATAAAGACTGTACTCTCCTTAGTGCTACATACTTTAAATCACATTTACTTTCTTAAAGGAGATAATATGGTTTCATATAAAGAGTGAGGTCAAAAGAATCACCAGGGCAAAAACCAGTTTGGGCAGGCTGAGGGACATGGCATGAGAGCGCTCCCCCAAGAGGCCCACACTACCAGTTGGTAAGCTCGACCACGAAGGCAAGAAGAATGCATGTAATTCCCAATAAAAGATTATAGTGTTTATATCAATGATATCCCTCCATGATAGTGCTGTGCCTTAAAAATACCAGGCACCTGTTTCTGATTCTCCTACATTCTCCTCCTTAAACATCATCCTCTCCTAGCTCAGCTTTGGACATTAACTTGATAGGGAAAGCGTGCAAGGCATCAGCGACCTTGGCAAGTAATCTCTGATGTCTTTAACAGCCTGTCTTGGTTCTGTCACTCCCTTGCTATGTTTTAATTTCCTTACTAGCTAATTCTTCAAAAGGCTCAAATGTCAAGGGAAAGAAGTCCCTCTCGCTCTCCAAGACAGCTTTCATGCTTCTTTACTCAGATCTTATCCCTGCAGACAAAGTCAGAGTTCTGAAGCCATCTATGACCCTCAACTGCCTGCCTCTCCCATTTGCTCACTTCTGAGCCTCAGCCCTCGTGGCACTAGCAAGGGAAGACTGCCAGAACCCATCTTCCCTTTTACTGCACTGCTGCTGAAGTCCATATTGATGCCTACAAAATTCCTGTCTCTTTAACTGAAATTCCCTCTTTCATCATCTGACAAAATCCTCACACGTTTAAACATCATGGAGTGCAGAATTCCAGTGTTCTTCTAATTCCTTGATCTAGGAAGTTCAGCCATTCATCCTTCCCCCGACCTCCACCTGCATGTTTCTAAACTCCTCACAGCGCACTGAGCCCAGTGCTCTTATTTATCTGGTTTTACGCCATTCTCTTATGGTCAAAGAATTTTTGCTTGCCTAATGCTGGTGTAATGCAGGAGACACACCTGAAGCCCAACACTTGTTTCCAAATGATCCGCGTACTCTCCTGAACTGCCTCTGACATTCTCAGCTTGTTTGGCTTTCTCATCACTCCTCCCACTACCAGGCTTTGCCTCTATTTTCTCCGTGCTTGGAGGCCTTCTCTTTCATTTCTGTTTCTTTTTCTGTCTTGAACCCTGTCAGCTCTGAGCCACTTTCTCTCTTTAAATACCACTACAAGACTTTTAGTTCTTTAGCTGACAGATGACTCACTGCAAAGCAATTCCCCATACTTTCTATGAAGAAGGCTGCATAAAAATAAATTTACTGTATTGTAATTGAACACCACAGCATGTTAGAGACACACCAAACGTCACCTCGTACCCACAGTGTGGAATGTTTTGCATGCATGGTATTTGAGCTAAATATCTTTATACATGATTTGGACATATGGGATGTGGGAAAAATAACGTCTGTGTAGGAATAAAATATCAGAACTGAAGGCAGATCTGAATGGTGCAAGATGCTATAAACAAAACATCAATGTTTCATCTTAAGATCTAATTTGGATTTTCATGGGAGTATTTGTGTTATAATAGGTGAATTTCACTGTAAACACAGATACATTGTTCCATAAAATTTCTCAGCCCTCTGTTAACCTGAACCACACCGTTTGCTAATAAAGCTACTCTAATCCGTGCTCTCAGTGAAGTGGCCCAACGTGCTCCTTAAGCATCCAAGAATCACTAAATCTCAGTGAAACTACAGCACTTTGTGCAGCCAAGCACCCTCACTTGGTTTGATGCCACTTGAAAAAAAACGGTGCAGCAGGCAGCGGAGGGCTTGAGACACTTGATGCTTTGAGTCAAAGCCAAAAGTTTGCTTATCCTTCATAGCTCAGGACAGCAGAAGGTCTGAAGAGACCTGGGTGAAGCTGTCAAAAGGCGGAATGAATGTAGTCTTCCCATGTGTATGCCACTGAGATAAATACCCAATTGAAAGGAAATCACAACTGTGCCGAGTTTCCACCAATACAGAAAACGAATCAAACACGAGACTTTAGCCAGTTCTCTTGAGGAGTTCAGCTGGCAGTCCTCTAGCAGTTATTGTCATTCTTTACCGCATATTTTAATATCTCTTTAGTATCTACTGCTCCATGTGTGGGAGCTACTAGTGATTCAGCATCAGGAACAGATGAAATTAGGTGCTGACAAATGCAAACCAATGCACACAAAAGGGATTAATTTGAACACCTCGCTGCTAGGGTTAGAGTGAGCTGCTACAAACTCAGGAAAAACAAAACAAAAGGCAGACCTGTGCATCAGTACAGAAAGCTCAACGAAAACATTTGCTCAGTGGGCATCAGTGATCAAAACAGCAAACACCTTGTTTACATACATAAAAAAGCAGATGGTAAATAATATATTCCAAAGCTATTACACAAATCCGTTGTACTCTTCAGGCTTGTAACGCTCTGTTTCTTAGCATAATCCCAGCACAGCAAGACTTTGGCAGACAAGAGGAGGACTCTCCAGAAGTTACCAAAGAAAAAAAACCTCCAAAAAGGTTTGTATGATTTGACATGAAAGAAAGAGTAATAAAATGGGCCCTGTTTCTGCCTCCTCATGCAAGAACAAGGTGGCATCTAATTAATCTGAGCAGTTTCACAAGCAAACAGAAGAAAGTAAACACTTGTTTTACGAACTGTACAGTAAGCTCATTGAATTCACAGGTGTGTGTGGTATGCACAGGAGCCAAGAGCTTAATGGGATTGCAGAACTGGTTGTTTATATAGCCAGCCAGGCTACCTGATAACAGCTATGCTGAAATATAAATAAGAGTTGTACAAAAAATATAAACCATAATGTTTAGGTCACAGCCCACACAACGATCTTAACAAATGAAATGTTCAGTGGGATTCACCTCCCACAACTTTAGCTGCCTGAAAAGAACATAGTGCATACTCAGACTTCAGCTCCCTCTGACAAACCAAGAGAAGCTAGCACCTTCCGAAAGCAATTTGCCTCATCCTAAACCAGCTGAGATGGAAGGGCACCTGAAGGTCTGCATCCCTCTCTCTCCCCTTCCATCAACTACAAAGGAAATGTAAACCACAAATTTAGACTAGGTGTTGCAACAATTGAGAAAAAATAACAGTACAGAGGAAGGTGCTTCTTAACATGAGTCTGCTCATCTGACTGATTTTTACTAATTAAGAAAACCCACAGTGTTATGAAAAAAACCACTTTTGACTGATCCTCTACATTTCAAACTAGTAAGAAGGCCCGATAAAATTTCAATAGATATGAATTTGGTTCCAGTAATTTTTCCCACAGACTGAAGGCATTTGTTATGTCAAAGCACAGAATCCATACATCCTAAAAGCTTAAGTTTGATGGTCACAACTTACCAGAATCATAGAATGGTTTGGGTTGGAAGGGACCTTATAGATCATCTAGTTCCAACCCCCCTGCCACGGGCAGGGACACCTTCCACTAGACCAGGTTGCCCAAAGCCCCATTCAACCTGGCCTTGAGGCAGCATAATTATAACAAATGCAGGGAATGCATACTACACAAGCAATCTTAGTAAGGTGTTGAATACTTACTTAAGCAACATTGATAGGAATATCAACTTTTGGACCACGCTAACTATAGCCAAAACTGCAGCTACAGCTTGTCCTAATTCCACAACAGCTGATGGTTCTTCTCCTCCTGTTCCATAACGGCCTGTCACCTCTCTCCCTCCTACGACCCATCTCTGCTCCACAAGTGGCTTAATTTACCACATAATCCAATTATCCAGAAGCAAATGTCTTTAACCTGCTCAGTCTGGACACAGTGCCCTCTCAGACTGAGCAAAGTGGCTTCCAGACAGAACACCCATATACATTTTCCAGCCACAGCCATAATTTCATAAGCTTTTCTTTCAGCCTTAATAAGAACACTCTGCTCAGGAACTGTTCAGAGTTAAAAATAAGTGTTTTCTTTGTTGTTTTTTTTTTTTTGTCCCTGCATTATTTTTAGTCTAGATTACTTTCCTGATGCAGTTTACCATACAGCTGCACAGTCACACTAGCCTGACTGACAGGATGATATGGAAGTGGGAATGAGTAGCCTGAAAAGGAAAGTCAGCACGAAAAGAAAAAGTCATCTTCTAACAGCCTATCTCATGTGGTCTGAAACATTAAAAAGTTTTCTCCATGCAAACTGCATGTCTCCTTAACAGAACAGAGGCAGAAATATGTCAAAAACCAGACTTGAAATAGAGGATTCAGTTTACAGACAGTGCTTATTGAATTTTGATAATGAAAAGTCAGCACATCCAGTTTATATATTCAAGGAAAAACAGAAAATAATAAAAATAATGATTTACATCAAGATGCCAAAAAAGCTGACTTTAATTCATTAAATGAATTATAATAGCAAGTTATTTTGTGTTCATCATTGAGGCAGCTGGAGTCACAAAGAGATTAAATACAAAGCTTATCATAGGCTAACAGCAACAGCTGACTGTTCCTCCCATCCAGACTAACCACCAGCATGAACATGCTGCTGGCAACCTCGTGACTGAAAAGATGAGCTTCCTCGAGTTTATCCATACAACTTCAGTCCGTTCAGACAATGGCAGATGGACACATGCAGGGAAAGCATCACATAAGACAATGAAAAATGGGAGGCTGTTTACCTAGGTGTCTGCAAGTCTAAGATATCCAAACTACTACGGCATACCAAACTGAAGTTGGACTTTGAGTATCTGCGAATAAGCTGACGATGCTAGGCATTTTTAAAAATCAGGCCCCTAAATA